GAAGAAGAAGAAGAAGAAGAAGAAGAAGAAGAAGAAGAAGAAGAAGAAGAAGAAGAAGAAGAAGAAGAAGAAGAAGAAGAAGAAAATTCAAAACACCTTATAGTCATTCACCCACAGCCCTTCATCATTGTCCCCAAAACATTTGCTCCCCAATTTTTTTCCTATGACTTTATTGACTAACAGAGAAAGAGCAAAAAGCAAAGTGAAGGAACAAAGTCAAAGGGTAGAATTGAAGTTGCTACATTATGTTTATTGTGTGTATTTATTGTAAAAAAAAAAATCAACATAAAACCCTTTCCATAATAACAACTTTGATATAACTCATTATACTAGTTCTGATTCTTGAATATGATCCTGGACCTTGGGAAATTTTAAATAACAATGATACAGAGGCCTTTTAAAATAAAAACAATCTTTATTTTGTGAAATACTTTTACTTTTAAAGGATTTCTTATTTTGTAGACTTAAGCCTAGGAAGCATAACATAGAGGAAATATATAGCCTGGATTTTGATGCTGGAAAGACCTACATTCAAATTTCCCTTCTGCAACTCACTACCATGCAACTTTGATCAAGCATCTTGGTCATTCTAATGTCATCACCCACCTAAATTATAGCCTTTTTGTGATAATGTCATGTGGGATTGTACATAAAGTGAATATGCAAACTAAACATCAGTCAAGTTTTCCTTTTCCTAAAATAGTAACTCTCACCTTGGCAGAAATGTATAAATGAAGAGAACAGGGATAAATCCAGGGAGATTCAACACAGCGATCTTCTTAGACATATAGTTTAAGCTTCTAGGGAAGCTTAAATAATTCATTAAAGGTAGATTTGTAAAATAACATTTTTCTAATTATCAATTCACTTTTAATATTGGGTTAAATAATGTCTTTACTCCAAAAATGCTTTTATTCATGAATTCTCAAAGCATTTTCTTGAATTTAACTACTTTCTTTAATGTACTATAAAGGAGACCAAGTCAAAACCAATGTGATACTTCAATCAAATTTTTCTGGTTAAAGAGATGCCAGTTTGCAGTCTTGCTCTTAGTAGGGTCTATCTCTTGGCCACCAGTCCCTGAATCCAGTGACAAAAATAGATGGACCAATCAACATGTATTCTAAAAATAAACAAATAAGCAATGCTTTGGTGTTTCTGAAAGATTTGCAATACACAGGCAGGCAATCACTAGGTATTCAAAAGGAAGTTGACTTGAAACTTCAATACTCAAAAAAGAAAACCCATATCTTATTGTTATGAAAAGGATTATTGGAAAGCATCTTTTCAAATTTTATAGAAATCTCAAACAACCATGTCCCTAGAGTCCCAGCTCATATCATTAGCTGTACATGCTCTATTCTAGAATATTTCTTTTCATTTGCCTCAAATAATTCACTTGCACATTGTTTATCTCCTCTGCCAAGTTCAGTGATATACTGTGATGTTTTTTCCCCGAGAGCAGAGAAAAATGTATCCCTGGAGAAGCAGCAGTTTGGAACTCTTGTGTTCAGGGTGGTAACTCTCCAAGGGAAAATTGCCTAGAAGGGATCAACAATCTTTAATTCTATCAGAAATTTAATCTTGTAATGAAGCCTGAAAATTCCATTTTTGTTAATAGAAAGAAAACCAGCATGAAATGTGGTGAACAAACCATTTCCACTGGCTGCTAACACAGTCACGCCGAGTCATCAGAGACTTGGCATAATAAAATTGATTCAATTATATTGACTAGAGGGGGAATGGGTATAGACTGAGTGGGCACAGCCGGCCAAATGCAAGCAAGGCACATGAATCAAAATTGTTATTGAGAAGGTAATGTGCTTCAAGTGTTGAACTGAAATGTTCATCCCTGAGTGTGTGTTATTCTCAGGTGCCTGAACAGGAAGCAAAGCAGCCCTACTGAACAGCATCTCCATGTTATTGGATATTGTATGCATTTTTCCAGTGATTTCTCTGCTTCTATAGAATTTTACCTATAGAGAAATCCATTAACTGATGTGGCTATTCCATTGGACCACTTCTTAATGACTCTGGAAATTCCTTTGCTATGATCTGAATATTTGTGCCTTAAAAATTCACTTTCTGGAAACCTAATCCTTCAGCTGGTGCCATGAAGAGATAGTGGCTTTGGGGACTAGTACAAAATGAGGGCAGCACCCCTACTCATGGAGTGGGTACCTTTATTTTCAAAAGGTCCGAGTGAGCTGTTTTCGTTTTCCACATGAGAGGATGTAGTGACAGGTCAGTGTCTATGAATCAAGAAACACGCCTTCCCTGAACACTGCCTTAATCTTAAACATTACAGCTTCTATAACTGAAAAACAAATTTCTACTATAGATAAACTGATTCATAGCATTTTACTATAGAAATATCAATAGACTAAGATGTCACTCCTGTGAATCTTTTGAAAACATCCTTTATTAATAATTTGCAATCTATGTGGTTTCAGTGATTTCTCCAATATTTAAATTTTTTATACTGCTTCCTTGAGAATGCTAATAAATGATTCCTCAGTACCTGAAAAATATATTATCTCAGAGAGTAATAAATAGGAACTGATGTCTACTAACTCTCCAGAGAAAGACATAAAGAAAAGGCAAATACTTTCTTCATTAAGCGTTTCCTTGGGGCCGGGGAGATGGCTCAGTAGAATAAGCGCTTGCCTGGCAAGTGCCAGGGTCTGAGTTCATTCCCCGTTTCCAAAAAAAAAAAAAAAAAAAGTTTACTATGCATTCCTTTAAAGTGAATTTTATTGTAATTCACTGAAAATGTATACATTACCAGCTTTGCTAACTTAGTTGGAAGAATTACTACCAGTAAATTGGAAAATTATGTTTTTAAATTACAGACATGTTACAAATGTTTAAATAATAAAATGCATCAAGGCTTTCTCTCTGAAAAAAAATAATAATAAGTTGCAAGAGGGCCAGCCAAATAGTTCAACAGATTAAAGAGCATGGTTAGGCCGAGCAACCGCAGGGGTTAAATCATAGCGTGCTGTGCTGGCCCTGCCCCTGGGGTGTGCTAAAACGGATTGAGACTGGGTGTGGTGGCATGGATAACCACTACAAAGACAACAAAATGCAATGTACTAATTATGGAAATTGTCCTTCTAACTGGTTTTAAAACTGTCTCATTGCTATTTGTTTCTCAATAAAATTAATTTTAAAAAAATAAAAATAACATAGATATACAGCTACTTTCTCTTAGTTCAATGAGAAGAAAGTTTTGAACTAATAGTGTTTGGACAAGATATCATGTCTGCATCTTGTACTATGAATAACTATTACAAAGACAATATGCAATGTATTAATTATTGTAAATGTCCTAATAACCTGTTTTGAAACTGTCTCATTGTTATTTGTTTCTCAATAAAATTAATATAAAAAAGGAAAGTAAGTAGTCTCAATATTCAACCCAAATATGACCACAACAATACATATTACAGTCAAATTGTAAAATATCAAAAACAAAAAGAGAACTTAAAACCAGTAAGAGAAAAGAGGCAAATTACAAGTCAGGTAGAACCAATAAAGCTAGTAGCCAACTTTTCATCAGATACTTTCAACCCAGAACGAGAAGCCCAGTGACCTATATCGAAAAGGTAAAACTACTCTCATTCAAGAATATTATCCCCAGCAAAGATGTCCTTCAGACATCAGAGGTGGACTAACATAAGGGATAAAAGGGAGCACAACACCATGGGGACAGGTCTATGGAGAAGTTCTAAAGGAAATTCTCTAAGCTGAAATAACAGTACACAGTGTGGGGCAAGGGCAAGAAGATGAAAAAGGAGTTGAGTTATGTACATGTACCAACTCCCCACAAGGAATCTCATCACTATGTACTATAGGCATGTACCAATAAAAATAAAAATTCATCTAGTGATTACACTTATTACAATCTTACTGATTGACCACAGTTTTGATCCACCTCAAACACATCCTACATTTTGCCAGTTGATCAATATTACCCGAGTGTTGATACTTGTAATCTTACTGATTGATTATAGTTTGTCCCACCTTAAGTTCACCTCACATCATGGCTTTTCTCAATAAAACACCCTTGAGAAATGGGGTTAGCGGTCAACCCCATATTGTGGACCCCCTTCTGTCCTCAAGCAGATGCTTTCTTCCTCTCAAGAGATTCTTCTTACTCATAAAATAAAAAATAAATAATATTTAATTTATTTTTGTGAATACTACTGCATTTATTTTCCTACAGCCAATCTTTCTATAGCTTCAACAAATTTTCCTTAAATCACGAGGTAAGAACAGGATCACTTGGCCCTTTCTGGTCTTGTTTCCTCACAGTTCAAAATGCTTGCATCTCTTAACTGCCAGAGTTCTCTTTGATCTGCAATTGGGTTCCACACACTCAAGTCTCAGCACAATCTTGTTTGTTGTTTTATCCTTTTTCTGGAAGATGGATTTCGTCTGCCCGCTGTAGCCACTCTGCTTCCGATCGTAGCACCTCTTTCCTTGGGCATATAGGGAATCCTTGCCCTTCTTATACCGGGTCGCTTTGTGTGGCTGATGTTTGCCACACTTCTTACAGAAAGTTCTTCGGGTTTTAGGTATATTGACCATCTTGGTGGTAGAGCTGTCTACGCAATGAAAACGAGAAGCCCAGCGACCTAACTTGTTGCCTCGCGCCGCTCACGCCTCAATATTTAATTTAAAATAAAGTATGAAACTCACTTATTAAAGTAGCTACATAATCAAATTAAGAATGTTTATTTAATGGTAGCTTGTAAAATAATTTGTATCTTTATTATGAAGACAAAACTATTAAAATAGCAATACCTACACTCACTTATCAAATAATACACAGTACAGAAAGATGTAAATTGTAACATTAAGAAGTTAAAATGCAGAAGGCTAGCCAAATAGCTCAGTGGATTAAAGAGCCAGAAAGCAGGCACAGGAGCCAGGGGTTAGATCCCCAGGCCTGCCGTGCCGGCCCCACCCCTAGGGTGCGCTGAGAGTGCAATTGAGACTGGACGTGGTGGCCTGCACCTGTAATCCCAGCTTTTGGGAGGCTGTAAACAGGTGGAGCACTAAAAGTATGACTTAGTAGTGAGACCCTCAACACCCTGTAGACCCTTCCCAAAAGTACAAAAGAAAAGTTAAAATGCATAGGATTTAAGTAATGTTTATGCCAACTTAATTTGTTATCAGCTTAATAACACCTGTTATACTATTAGACATGTGTAAACATCGTACTGTCTCACTCAGGTAAAAATCTGAAATGGTAAATATACTCTGAAAGGTATAATAGATATTGTGAAATGGAAAGAAACTGCTCAAAGTAAAAGCACAAAGAGGATGGTAAAAAGGATAAAAAAAGAAAGAAGGGATGTCAAAATAAATAAATAT